GGCCACTGGCACGGTGGGATTGACCGGCGTTGTTTTGTGGCCCACTTTCTAGTTTCTGTATGAGAATCCGGCCGTGGGGGCAATGGCCCTGGCTGCTAAGCCCCCTGCATGCTAATGAAAAAGCAAAGGGAATGGTTGTGAGGTGAGTCTGCTTTGGAGGTGAAAGTGGGGTGAAATGGTAAGGGAACACGCTATGTCGATTTCGGTACGCTTAGCATCAATTTGAAGCTGAGCTCAGAGACCCCTCGCCCCCCTCTCTCCCCTTCCTTGGCATCAGTGCTTGTGTTGACGCAAAGATGACTCAGCAAGATTACCTGACAAAATGGTCTACAACTTTCAAGTGGTTTCGAGGAACAAAAACAATCAAATTTGTGCGGATTTCAATGGGTTTCAAACTGGAATTCTACATTCCACTGTAGGCTTTGCGGGCAGCCTCAATGGCTGCGAATTGATCCATTCTCAGCCATTCCAAGGCCATCTTTGGCGATCAAGCACTTGCAAGAGGTTTAACAGCAAGTCGCGGGTTTCTTGTTGCTTATCAGTGGCCTTTTTGGGCACCTTCTTGCCTCACGTCGATTTTGTGGCAATTACATAATCTCCTAACGTCACAGGTCTGCCGCCCACGCCTCCACCCCACCCACACCACACCACGTCAATTTGACGATAAGCGCACCAAAATGTACATAGTGTCTTCCTTAAAACTGCCATTGTTTGCAGCGGCCAAGAGTTGGTAGCGTAGATTGATGACAGAGTGCAAGATACTTGTCTGTGCATACGGAACATACAAAAGAATGTACAGAATGCGCGAACCTATGTTTGGATTGCTTTTCTTTGGAGCCATACCGAGAGACCTATATGATTCTAGTTGAGCCTTCAACGAATGACCCTGAATATTTTGCGCTTCCAAAATCATTGCATCCCGGTGGCGCACTCTGTGACCACTTCATTGTGTGCACGTGCAGTTTATGCCTACACTCTTGAACAACAGCTGTGGTCGGCAGTTGTGGTTGAACAGAGCACTTTGAATAGAGCACTTTAAAGCCAATTTACTTCATACATCTTGAATAATGGACAATTACAGGTCATACACTTGGAAAGCAAGTTGGAATATTCTAAATGTACTCAACTTTCGATCATGTACAGGAAATTGTGCAATTCGTGCACCATATTTTGGTACCAATCGGGAATGTATTAAAGGAGGGAGACACGACGAACTATGGCATATTGGACAATTTTCATGACATTTCAGCATGGTTCCGAAGACGTCTATTTTTGCCCTTTCGTCCTAGGTAACCTTGGCAGGGCACTGCCAAGCAAGGGGACAAGAAGCTGATCAACATAGGAACGATGAGATGTGTTGGCCACCTCCCTGATGCAGAGTAGTCTAATCGGAGCTTGGTACATTTTGATAACCATGTGTGATGACTTGCCCACATGCTTACATCATTTCTCCCCTTTGCAACGATGGATCAACCCCTCCACATTGTCAATTCCATTCTAGGGGCAAGAGACCATCGAGCTGACAACATAAGTGCAAAGCGTTTAGGTCTCAATGTTAGGGTGGTGGTAAAAAGATCATGATCGCGCTTGTTGTTGGGCCAGATTTGGAGTAGTGCCCATTTTGGCCAATTTTTGTAAACGGGCTATGTGCTGACGGCTGGGGCGTCAGGGGACCCCTTACCAATCATAACACAATTTGTAACCAAAGGGAAAGATTTGTGTTCTGTGCCATGGTGATTCTTGGGAAAGTATATGAGTGCAATATTGTTAATGAGTGGAAATCAAACGTGCACTGATCGGCACAAAAGTGGGAATCACCGATTCTGCCATCTTGTGCCTTGGCACAAGAAGCTTGAATTGTCGATTCTGGCCCCCTACCATGGCACAAGAGGCGGAACATGTGGCTTTGGGTGTCTGAGGTGATCGCCATCCCCCATAGCAACATATCCTCTTAACTCCTCCTGGGGTGCCAACAGTGGCAACATCATTACAAAATCACATTGGGTTAGTGATGGCTTCTGTTGCTTGTTGAAGTACTGAGACCAATGGATAGTCACAATAGTGGGATGATCAAACAGTTGGTGGCAAGGAAGGCAAGACAGGAACACAATGTACAAAACATCAAGTGCACAACAAGTGGCAGCACTTCCAAAGATGCAAAACGCAGCTTGTGGAAGGCTCCAACAGTGAGGCGCCATAATATGTTTGGGTTAGACCAAAAAGGGGCAAGATCGGCTGGCGCAAGTCCTCCCCGCAAACAAAATCAGGATTCAAACAACAAGGAAAATATTTGGGATGGCTAGGATGCATGAAATCAACCAATTCTGTCCCAGGGCAAATTAGGAATCATAGAGCTCTATAAACATGCATCTTAACTGATGGAATCTAGAAGGGCATGCAGAGGAGATTGGTGTCAGCGACTTTCTACACATGTTTCCAAATGAAGACCCCAACATGTTGTAGCACAACAACTTACAACACATACACTAGAGACATCAAGGAGCACAAAAATTGCTGACTAAGTTGATGAGGGTGCAATGCTATTGATCCATTATGGATTGGTATGGTACCAATGCACTAGGCATCTGTGATGGTTCTAAGGCCATGAGAAATGTTTTGCAGGAAATGGTAGTAGACAATAAAGAAAATGCGACAATTGCTCAGGAGGAACTTGCTAAGCAACTGAATTAGTTGAATGGTATTCAGTTTGCAATGAGCACTTAACAAATGAGCGAATGCAAAAGAGAGATGAGTTTTGTATAAAGTAGCCAAACGAATTTGAAGTTCCACAATCAATATTAGGAAAGATGCTGAACATAGTGGGGCAAGAAGCTTAGTTCAAAGCCTAGTAATGCAAAATTTGCTTTCAGGCTGAGTATGTTCATTGTAACATTGTTGTTGGATTCTGGCACAAGTTTCAATAGCCAAAAATTAATCCATCATTTCCATCGTTGGAGTCAACATTACTATTGTAATTGGCCAGATGGAAGCATTGCACCAAACTTCTCCAGGTGCAACATCAACATTGTAACAAAGAAGCTCACATCAATCTGCAAAATCAAGATGACACATGGTTTTTGCAAGCCTACAACTGATTGATTTGGGACCACTTAGTTCAAATTGTGGTCCTATTGCCTTGATTCTTTGCCCCCTTCCACCATATGCTTCCATAACGTTAAAAATTGAAGGCAAATATGTGTCATCTTGATCAGGCTTGGTTTTTACGCCGTAAAAGCTGATCATATTTACATTTTTATGCATAAAAATAGTTTTTACGTTTTTACACATAAAAATGCGTATAAATATATAAATACAATGTAAAAGTTGCCCGGTGTATATAAGGACAATACATACAGACTTACAAAGTCCGCAGAGTGGCAGCCAGACGCCCTGGAAGGAGCAAAAAACGAGTTTTTGTTGAACGCCATCATCACCCTTGCCAAGGGCGAGGTGGGCATTGTGTTGCGGGTGCTGGTGATGGCAGAGGACTGATCATTGTGCACAACTTTCAACGTATAACCTGGGTGTCCCAGGGAGTTGTAAAAACATAAGAATAGCCGTAAAAATAAGCCCTTTTGCAACTTACAGTTTTACACGTAAAAACATAAAAGTACAAATGTAAACGTTAACTTAAACGTAAAAACCAAGCCTGATCTTGATTATGTAAATTTACAAAAGTCACTTCATAGAATTGTTGATGCAACTCCTTGGAAAGTTTGATTCAGTGCTTATATTTTGCCAATTGTATTGTGAAAGTAAACTCAAACGATCGGTGTACTAGGTTAGCGTTTGACTTTTGACCCTTATGCCATCATCCAACAGTAGCATCACAATGAACACAGTCAACCAAAAAGCCAAACCATTTTTAGGTTCCATCATGAATTGCTAGGCTTCACGCTGAATATGACGTAGCTGCTGGGGGTTAGACTAAATTGGCATCTTCTGGAGTGGAAACTATGTAATTGGTGAAATCGACCTTTTGGGAGAGTTATTTTGAGCTTTCTGGTTCCAATGCGCTTTTAAACGCTTGATTCCATTAGGAAATGACAAGGATATGGCTTTTTGAAGTTACAATACTTAGGACCAGGGGGTCGGGTGTTAGATGCTTGGAATTAGAGGACAATTGGTCGATCGCGGCTAAACGGTGGATGGTGATAATATGCCTGGACGTGCACTCGTGTTGTCTTGTCTTGATATGACCGCGATGGACCCGCGATCGGGCATCGCACATGCGATATATGCGCGCGCATGCGTTGAATCTTTGTAACATCCTTTGGCCCACTCTTTGGCCTCCCGCGAGCCAGCGAACCGCCAAACCGCTGCGGCGCCACCTCTCATCAATAGTAGGCCCCGGGGATCGATCCTTGTCGAGCATTGGGCCCATCGCATGACCACAGGAGCGACTGCCCCGGACACGCCCACCGTCCAAGGTCGAGAGGGCCGGTTGACCTCCATCAACCGAGCTGTAGGGCAGGGCGACCCAACGACTCCGGAAACCAGTGGCTGCCGACGGGGCCGCAACATTGAACTTCTCACCTCATTGTATGGATTATCATTCTAAATCTTGATTGCAAATCTTCAAATTTATCCATTGCACTATACAAGAACCCATGATGTCTCTCCAGCATTTGCTCATTGTCTTTGTTGTTGTTTGCAAGTGGAATACTATTCATCTGATGTAATTGGTTAGCCAACCCCTCCTAATTGACAGCCACATTCCCTTTGCCAGTTGCCAATATGTTTTGCTTGCCATTTCCCCTAGTCTCAAAACCAAAACCAATGCCCGATGCATTTGCGGGGATCAATGACACTACACCCCCATCGAATTGGTTGACAACTTACGCTAGAAATTGCTGCCACCAATCTCCTATGCAATGTGATAAGTTTTGTCCACTCCATCACTGGAAATCATCACCTTCCAACTACGTAGCAAATCCCTAGGCAACACCATCAAAGCGAGTTGAACCAATCGGCTAATTGGTGGTATCAATGAGTTAGGGCTACAAGTCGCCACAATCATAGGCTGTGTGTTTCAGAAAACCCTTTGGAGAAAAGAAGTTGGAAACGATGAAATTCCTCGTTCTACAGACCTGCAAATGTGCAGCCGAGGTGTTTCAACTTGATGAAACAAGATCGTTCACAATTCGCAGTCTTTGGAACTACAAACACCTCAAGTCGCTGTTTTGGGATTTATCACATTGTAGGCAGGCAGACAACTAGTATTTTCATCCAACAAGTGCTGCAAAGTTCTGGAAAATTTGACTTGTTGCTGTATTTGATTCATCCACAAATGAACATCTCAAATACAAATGACCTGACTTGCACGAGACAAAACAATTGCCAGGATAAGGATTATTCGCTCACCAATTCCAAATCCAGATGTAAAAGATATTCATATGATTTCCAATAAGGATGCTCAATTTAGTCTGAGATGGTGCTGTGATAATCATTACAAAGTTCAACATACATGCAACACAACTCAGTTAAATGGAATGATAGAATGGGGGACAAATACTGCCTGCAACATGGCAATTTCATGTAATGCTTTGATCTAATTGTAATGGCCTTGCATACCTCAAAATACTCCTTGTGTTGGCAGCACTGATAGTGTTATGGGAAACCAAATCATTGCTCAAACGATTATAACTACACTACAATACCAGAATTCTAATGAAACTGGGGAAAAGACATTACAATGGTGCAGTGCAATATAAGAACCTGTGACAATGCCATTGTTGGGCCCGATTTTGAGGCTTGTCCACTGGTGCAAGGGGAGCCTCACCCACCAGTTCTGAATCAAGCTGGAGCAGGAATCCCCGAATGTTGGACTCCACAGTGAGAGGCATTACACGATTCAGCCGCTCCTTTTCATATTCTCGAAGCTGAGACTCCAGTTCAGACGTTCCAATTGCAAACTTGCCTGCATTTTGAAGCACTCTCCCCAGCTGCACTGCGTCCTGCAGCAATTGCAGCAAGCCCCAGGACAATCTGTTGGTGATGCACCTAATGGGCAATGTGTGGGACGCCGTTCACAGTCACAAGCAGTTGCTCTTGTTTCGGTTCCATTCCCAATTGCTCACCACAAGCCTTGGGATTCAAGACACTCAAGGCGAATGGGGCCATTGCACAGGCTCACAATGTTCTCATAGGCACTTCGCAATATTGCAGTGATTGGTCCCAGGCTGTTCATAGTCCTCGTTCACTGCTGCCTAGCCAAATGACGAGTTGGCATTGCAAAGGTGAACAACTTGTGTTGGTACAAAATTGATTCACCAAATCGTTACAGTAGAAAAACACCGCAAGCATAGTTGGAGCATACGAATTAACCCAATGCACTGAATCACAGCGAAGGTAATCTATCTTCAATGGTAAACTAGCCATAGACACCCTTTTTGATTGTGCTAGTGGGATTGTTGTACCAGTGCTGCGTGTCTCACAAGGTGGATGGCTAGAATGATGCCAGACAGAGTGCCCAAATATGACTGCAAAGCTGCGGCACATGGGAGTGTGACCCGGCAACGACATCCAGTTGGTGTTGAAAACAATTTTCCTGACAACTGGCAATGTAGGAATTGAGAACAAAATAGCTGCCCAAATCCTTAATTCAGGCCGTTGTGCAAGCAGATTTGTTGATTGTTGTAGTGGACTCCTGGAGAGGAGAGACCCAACCTCCGCCCACGTTAGCAGAGGGGGAACGCCCATCTTGCATCACAACATTAGCAGGAACTCCCATTCTGGTGAATTTGGCAGGTCATGTCCTACATACACTGGTCCCCAAACTTGGACACCCCATATTTATGAAAATCGGTCCACACCAGCAGAGGTGGAGGCATTTGAGAGACACAATGTTCCTATTGCATTTCACGCAAGCATGAGAGGTATGTTAACAAATCTCACATGAAAAAAGTCAGGTGACAGGCACCGTTTCTGGGATGGGTAGTCCTTAAGATATTGAATTCAAAGACCTTACAATCCAAGAGGGGGTGCCTGTCCCAATATAGGAAAACAGGAAGTGGGATGCAGAAGCAATCCATCACAGTCAGGCTTGGTATTTATGGCATAAACACATTTCTATTTATGGCTTTTTCCACATAAAATGGTTTTCATGTGTATGCATAAATAGCCATAAAGTGCATAAAAATTGGTCCTGTGTACCTGAAGACAATATGTAGACTCAGGAATCCAGGGAGTGGCAGCTACATGCATTGAAATTTGCACAAAACGATCTTCTGCACAGCCACGTTGTTGCCCTTGCTGAGATAGAGACGTGCGCTGTGTTGTCAGTTCAGGGGAGAGTGAAGGATTGATCATTGGTGATCGTTGGGACATCATCATGTAATCTGCAAATGTGGGCGAGCTATAAATGTTCGTGAATAGGGCTGTAAAAATGGCTGTTTCTCTATTACACATTTGTACTCGTAAAAACGTAAATGTAAATAACAAGCCCAATCACAGTGAACAATATACACAAAGTGTCATGAATTCGCCATGTTCAAAGCTGGTGTATGTGGTCGCTTTTCGTTTGCTGTGTGCATTGAACCTACATCAACATCTTTAATTATCAACTGCAGGGTTTCACCACAAAGCCACTGGCACTCAATAACGAATAAATGTTTGCACCTGATATTTTGATAGCGACTGCCTTTGCAAACCGTACCAAACTCTAAAAATCTACATTATTGTGAATTTGCATTAAACCAATCAGATTGATGCAAATTAGATGGTTGCAACCAATAGCAAATCTACATGCACTGCACTCAACACTATTGTACCAGCTGCAGTCCAGGAGTACAAGCATAGAATACTGTAATACAACAATGAATTGACAATCCGCATGGTTTCTACAGTGAGATGCAGTCATGTCTCACCTCCAGAGCCACGCACCCTCCTTGTCCCATATTCGGAGTCATTGGATGCAGGGCATCCCCTGCCAGTGTCACGAGGCCCCTACCCACAGGCATGCCTGGAAACTGCCACCTGGCCACAATATCCACATAGAGTATGTCATAAGAGTCTTTTGCTGCATTGTCTTAGTTCTCTGGCCTGCACAAGCACGCATCATTTTTATTCCATTCTGACAGTGCTAGACTTGAACATATGAAGTACTGTTATTTCTTCTGCCTCACATTATTGGCTATTTTCATGTGAGAACAGTGCAACAGACCCTGTTGGAGTTTCAAATACCTCCTCCAGAATTTTCAGGTCGCAGATCCATTGATGCCTCCATGGCAGGGTATTTTGCAGATATGGACGACATGGTATTGAGATTGAAACACAGCGCTAATTTCCTGAATGAACCATAGTCTGCCCCATTTCACCAGGAGAGGAGTCTTCGGCAATGCCCACAATCCATGGCAAATGGATCTCTTGCAAACGCCCACAATAAAAAGACAGCAGGTGGGATCGGGTGAAGCTCCAGTTGAGAAGCAACCATGTAGTAAAGGATGCATTTAAATCTTGATGTCAAATACAAGAACTCAACGACGGATATCCTATAAATAAAAAGATTTGAGCACAGATGCTTTTCCAGGGGACACAAGTTGCAATCACATATGGATAGAATACCCTTCCATAATACCAGACCATTCCAGGCACCAAGGATGCCACAGACCATTGCAACATCCCTCCATGCAAGCATTGAACCATATAGGATGTGCTGCTCATCACATAGCACCTTCTTCACTTCTGGGAGTTAGATGTAATGGAGACAATGATGGGATAGTCAGTACATGAAATCATGTTGGCTAAACATCCTAAAACCTGTTGACAGATTGTTGATCTTGTTGCTCAGTCTGGCAGGGATTCTCCACCTGCAAACGTCACACCCTCCACAAAGATAAAAATTAATATGCATGTGCTGCAGCTATGCATTGCACACATGTTCCTTGTAAATTGGATTCCAGGAGATGAAAACACTTTTGGCTTCAAAGTTGAGGTATGGTGTCAGAGCAATTGCAGCTTCAATACTCCACAGAATGCCTACAATATGGGGGAGAATAAAATGCAATTGTGCAGCAGCATACCATAGCTTATCATTCACTTTGCAGGAAAAATTAAGTTGTCAATAAAGCTCCAGCTCAGAACTGTGCTTGTTACTTAAGACCTGTTAATGAATCCAGGATGCTGCTAATGCTGTGCAAATTTGTTCCTAAAGTGTCTTCACTCTTACTTACCATCAAGCTTCAGCAATGTAACTCTTGTAAACGTGTTGTGAAATGAAACTTTAGTACTTGCGAGACCCAGAATGTGAATATACCTAAGCTCAGTCGGTAAAGAGCTCAGCCATGGGGGACTATGTAGTAAGCCAATGTTGGGTCACTGCATCCTATTCATGGTCTAATCAAGGCAACAACCTTCCTTACCTATCACCCACTTGGTTTTGCGAAATATCAACTGGATCAGTGGCTTCTACAAGTTCCTTCCATCCACCACTCCATCCTCGCACCAGAGACATGGCCATCTTTTTTCTTTCTTCTGGAGATAATCGTGGTTCTCCCTGGTGCCATGCACAAAACCACCATTCTCTGTTGTAAGACACTGTGGCCGTGTGAGGATTACACAAAATAGCTGGAGTTTTGAACACAAATGAGTTGGTTTTCGTCTGGGACCATCACCAACCACCAATCAACATGCTTAACACCAGTTTCACTTCATTCTGTGGATTGGGGAGGGGATAGCAGAAAATTGGTGGGCCTCCCAGGTGCTGTTGGGCGCTATCACAATGATACTGAAACTGGCCAACTTGAAACCTGCGGTGATGCTCCACAAACAGACATTTGGAAAAGCAGTGAGCAGCAGTGGCATTCCTGCAGCTAATGAGTTTCTGATTAGGGAGACATGTGTGGGCCCTGGTAATCCACTTGGCACTGTTGGCATACTCATTGCAAAAATTGTTCCTGGCTGTTAGCCCCTGTCAGCTCACACCATTGGTCCAGAAGCTGTAATTGGGATTGGCACAAGGCATCTGTGCATTCTAGGAATATTTTCTAGGGGAAACCAGGTTTGTTTTCAAACAAGCAGCCACAGCAGAGATTTACAATGTTGGAAGGCAGTTTCCCCATTTAAGAAGGCCCAATGGCCACTAATAGTCTTGTTTTGCTCCCAACTGCCCATGCCTTACAGATTGAATAGGAATCTCAGATGAAGTGTGTAGAATGCACTGTGCATTCAGTACTTTGCTTGCTAGTCGTTAACCATAAGGCAAACTAAGATGGTGGACACTTTTTTGGGAGTGGACAATGATGGACTTCACAAATGGCAAAGTGTAATTGCCAAGCATTGGGCATGAAGAGGATCCTGTCAAGCTGAAACAAAGCAATGCTACGTGTTTTCCTGAATTGTTGCATTGGTTGCAGAGTTGTTTCAATGTGTATGATGACACAATGGACGTTAAAGAACATTGAGGGAACTGTTGCAAAAAGAACAATTTCAATGTTGCAAAATAATATATTTATTGTCAAGCAACAATCAATAGAGCACAAGAACACACATATAGAACACATAAGAACACCTTATTACGACACACACACACACACACACACACACACACACTTTATTACATAAGAACACTTTATTTTCGACTTGACAGGCTTCAAATAATCCAATCAAATCAATTCATCACAATGGCCAATTCGGATAAGTCCTCCATGAAAACGGTGGAGTGATGCAGACCTCACCTCCAAAGCATTGTAGCAGACAAACCAGTAGACATCATGGGCTGTCAATGGATACAATCCAGCTCGGACTCCCTTTCCTAGAGCTTGAACAATTGAACCACTTCTCACGGGCAAGGATTCCACATCGAGACGGCAGACTCCCCTACGAACAATCCATGCCTATGTCAATAGGTTGATGGCAATTGCCTCCAAAACATACCAAGCATTGCTTTGCCTTCAAAGGATAGTGACTTGGAACAAGGCATTTCCACAACAAATGGATTTTCTCCATTCTGAACCCATATAAATTGAATGCCACTGTCCATTCAGTGTGTTGGCAAATGATGCTTTGATGGTTTCCCCATGCCCTTCGCTTGCCCTGCCACATATATCCCCATGTGAATACCGTTGGGTGTGAACACACATTCCAAGGGTACACAATGCAAATGCATACATGCGCAAACATCAACAACATTGGGGCTATTAATTTCTTTTCAGAGCCCTCTGTCCATATCATGACAGTGCTGCTGTGGTATCTATCCATCTTCAACCATCATCATACTGAGAGAATATTGCTTCCATTTGATCAGCAATGATTCAAAGAGAAAATGGAAAACCTCGTGCACACCACGTGGATATTCCAATTGCTGATTGATGCAGAGAGCTTGACATTCAAGTGTACGTGACAAAATCTTCACTCAGTGCCTGGCCAAAACCCCAAAATGCAGTAGCAACACTCGCCACTTACTGAGTGCGGAGCGAAGAGCTGATTAACATGTCCTTGCCTTGATTTGCAACTTGCTCCATTTGGGAAAATTGTTACATTTCAAATTTTTACGCCCAGCAGTTTAATGGACGTAAGGAGAATAGGGGGGTCCTTGCAAGAAATTCTTGCAGCCTAAGAATTGCCACCAATGGGAGTTGAACCTGGGGTCACACCAGGTCAGACTGGTTACACTCTATGCCACCAGGGCTCATCTGTGGCCATTTAATTTTTAGGCTAAAGGATATTTATACCCAAGTCAGTCCACTCAGCTCTTCTTGGGCACAGGTCTGCAACAGAGAGCATGGGCAAGGGTGGCCCACAGAACAACGGGAGCATGGACAACCCCCTTGTTGTTTTGTCAATTGTGATGGTTACGAGGCCTCTTGCATTCTCATCACCTCCAAAGGACTTAGCTGCTCACCATGGAGAGCAAGGTGGGGCCCTTTATGAGTATGTGGCAGTAGGCAGGAGAGACAAATGGAAGCACCTCAGATTTGATTGTATTCGAGGGCTCATGGGACATTTTTGCACAGGTCCCATTTTTATACAATAAAGGCACAATTTAAGACGATTTAACACCATTTCTACGCGATTTTCAATTGTGCTACACGGTACACGATTTTCAAAACCGTGTATTTTGGCCTGTTTTCTAATAGTGTTATTTTGTTTTTTCTTGCACCAAATTCGTTTCCCATCCTGGGGACATACTTTCATATAATTGTGAAATAGCTGCAACATTGCTATGAGAATACAATTCCCATTGTTAAACTTTGTTAAGGGTGCGTGCATTAAGTGAAAATGGAGAAGCAATGGTGTGTAGATTGAAGATCCCTATGGTAACATACAATGGTTGAGTATATGACCTTTAGATACTATCTTTAAAGGATGAGTGAGTGTATGATTGAAAAGCACATCGTGTGCTGTACACCCAATGTGGTTATGGACATGTGCGCCCACGTGAGAGGAACGGGACAAGAAAAATTGAGCCACAACATGCAGTCATTATTCCATTTTCCATATCGGACATGTAATCAATCACATCCGTGGGGAGCCCATCTGCCAATAGACATTTGTGGTTCTGCGCGTTGCATTCCCCCTGCCTCGCGTGACGTGTGCTCCCTTGTGCAAAAAGGCGAGTAAAGAAGAGCGATCGAGATAAGCAACCATGGCCCAAAAGCGTAGACAAGGGAGGCGCGTTGTGGGCACGGATTGGGCGTTGGTCGGCGAAACAGAAATGGGCCATTTTGAGGAGCATATGGAGGGGGCTCCAGAGATCAAAACGCTGGCGATGAGAGTGGCAGAGAATACCGCAAGGCTATAGCGGATAGAGGCCAAGTTGGACGCGGTGTTGGGGATGTTCAACAGGGAGGGAAGCACAGCAGAGCGGATGGCAAGGGGCCTGGGCGCGGCGGGTCACGTGTCGCCGATTACCCAGGCCCCATCGGACCCGGAATTGTTTGGTCTAGGATCATCGCCGGGTGCAACGCCGACCATGGTACAAAGGTCGGCCGTGGAGGAGGCGGCCTTGGCTGCAAGCAGGGCTATGGTAGAGTTGTCCCTAGAGGGTGGGGACGTGAGCCCCGCGAGGGAAATGGCCCAGCCCACGATGCGGCAAGTTTATCCCACTCAATCGGTTGAAGCACTCACGGCGGCAGGTTGTGCCGTGCTCGAGAGTGGCCGCACGCCCAGTTTGGAGATAGGAGGGGTGGAGATGATGCGAGAGATGGCGAAGGTCGGTGACGTGGTTCGTTGCCGGCTCCTATGTCTGTCTTGGTGCAAATGAGTTTTTTTTGCAAATGGGTGTTTTGTGACGAGAGGCAGCAATTACGGGTATACGCATATGGGCTGTCGGACCCAGTGGATAGATTCGTATGTCTTGTCCTAGAGGATGAGAAACAAGCAGTACTGGATTACTACCGAGAGTACTTGTGATTTAATGGTGATAGTGGGAATCATCTTTCAAGTTGATTGGTGAAAATGATAGAATAATAAAGGTTGTATGGGGTAAGCGCATCATCCCACGAACACATGGGTGTGTTCATATGCTGTGGGATGATAAAAGGTGCGAGTGTGATATGATGGGGCATTGGTGTATGGAATAGTGTGTTGCATATTGTGTACTTGGAAAAGTGATAATGAAGTGAAGTAGCAGGTCTAGAAATGTTGCGATGAGGAAAAGTGAGTGTCATATGGATGGCTCTGGGCTAAGAGAAGTGAAGTGCACAGAATTTCATAGTGCGAAGTGCATAAGGCGATCACCAGCAGCGATGGCATTATGGGACTCGGAGGGGGGACAAAAAGGCGGAAGGCGGCCATTTGGTCGCCCTAGCCCAGCGCGCCATGTTGCAGCCACTGAGCAACTTGTGGAGCAGCGATTGATAGGCCGGACTAGTGGAACGCCTACACTTGCACGAGTTGAGACACTTTGCGGTGTGAGTCAGTTGTTGTGGTACGTCTTGGGAAAGGATAGGCGAATAGGAACGGTTGTTGTGACAATGAGTGTCGGGGGTTTATGGTCGGAAGTTGATTCTGTCAGTGTGAAGACGGGAACGGTGCTTTTACATTGTAACAAGTGAATCTTTTGTCCAACTCGGAGCTGTCCGATGTTTTGAAGTGTTGTGCATCGTTATTTGACCAGTCAGACCGTCACAGCGGTCGAAATCTTTCTGTAGTGTCTTTCTTGTGAGTAGCTGCATATGTTCTAAAGGTGAAAAAGGGAGAGTGAATTTGTTTGGAGAACGATTGCACACACTGCGTCGTTTTTCATTCATCTGGACTGTTCTGGCTATCATACATCTTGTGATCGCTGATTCCCACACATTGGTGAACCTGGAGACGGTTACATATACTTTCTGATCAAGATAGGCTACGAAGTACATCGAGAGTCTGTAAAAACAGATTGCAGTTTCTTGGTAAAGAACAAGAAAGGTTATTCCAAAGTGAATGCCATATGATCTGACATTGAAGCTGTCCCTGGAGATCTTGTGCACTCCTGAGATTGAGAAGGACCTCAGAAATCCAGAGAGAAAGAGTCAATACTGTTGCCCATCCACTGCTGACAGAAACAGTGGAAGACAGAGAAAACGCAAAAGGGCAGAGATTCTAGGTAGCGAGATTGTCTTTGAGTTGCCATTTCTGAAGCGAGTCGCAGTCGAGAAGGTGTGGGTTGAAAAGAAGGAGCTGCCTCCCCATCTGCTGGAGAGACCAGAGCTGCGTCAGCTCCCAATTGAGTTGCAGTCATTCATTGCTGTGCAATGGCACGATTGCAGCCAATCGTTCCAGGAGGCTGGGAAATTCATTCGGAGGGAGCTGGTGAAAGCAACTCCTAGGCCACAGTGGTAGTCAAGAACGGACAAGATTTTGCTGAGGAAACATCAGAACCGCCTGGACAAGAAGGCAAGAGGGAGGAAAAGATAGTAAGATCAGCAGAGACGTTTGTTGGTGTTGATTTCCAGAGCAGTTGCACGGAAGGAATTTCAATCGGTCCTTGAATGTGCAGTGGAGTGTTAATCTACCCAGATGACATTGTAGTTTGGTCATTGAGGTCGAGGCTGGTGGTGTTGTGGATTGTGTCAATACTTTCAGGAAGTAGACAACAGTTCGGAGTGGCTGTTTAGTGTGGGAGTCATGGAGATGTGTGTGTTCTCTGAATTGAGTGGATTGGAGTGGGAAGTCAGAAGTGATTAGTGAGAAGGATATTGGAACTGAGATATATTTTTGGGCGTATGAAAAGTAAACTGTGACATTGTAACATTCAAATTCTTGAAAGTTCTGATTCTGGGCAGTGATTATCAGCTATGGTGGCAATCACCATGAAAGCCCTTCAACACCATAAAGAACGCTGCCTGAAGATTGTGAGAACAGTCAATGAAATCATTCAAAAAGTGTGCCTACAATTTGAAGACAGGAAAGAGTTTGGAAATTTACCTTAGTGCGATGTATCCTGCAAAATTGGGTGCCTTCAAGCCCAGTGCTTGTGCAATGCAGCTTCGTGCACCATCAGCACCAACAACCATGCGGCAGGGAATGGGCTTCCCACACTGTTGAATTAACTGAGGCAAGCCTGGATGTAATCAAATGCAGTCATGCAACCACAAGGTTCACACTATCAGAAAACACCGTGTTAGACATGCTAAATTGATATTGACACAAAGTGATGCCATCACAGCAATTGCATGGCACAACGGTGAGTGTGATGGCATCAGTTTGCGTCAAATGACATCACAGTTGGCATCGCATAAATGTCGGTTTCCATTTGTGTCACTGCTAAAGTGCTTTAGTGCCAGCCAGTACCATCTTATGCCCTACTAAATTTAGTTATTTTGTCCAGGTGGAGCACTAGACTATCATTGTGATATTGTGGGTTCATGGGCGGCAACAAAGTGTCGCCTGTCACTGAGATGCTATGGGCATCTTCAATTCCTACTCACCTGAATTGAGTTTGGAATTCGTAACTTTGGCAGCCATGCAAGGCATTGCAAGCATAAGGCACTCTGCTGTGCTAAGTCTACATTACCAAGCAGCCTATTTGCATTCAACAGAATAGGTGCAGGTAGATACACTGTTGTGCATGGCTTGAGCACACAATATGCACGCCTGCATGTGGATACAAGCACACACCTAATGCACTACTAATGCACAGACATGTGAATGCCCACAGATACACAAGTGCACAGCACACCAAAGCAATATCAACAAATACATGTACATGACCATATAGCAAGGACAATATGACGAGCAAAATATCACCCATACATAACAATACCCATAACTCAGTCATCTGTACATGTACTGGGAAGTGAGGGAATGAAACATCTGACAAAATAGCTTGACTTGGTGAAGTAGCGCTGTAAAGGACTGTTCCATGTTAAGTTGTTCTTCAACACACAACATGCCATTTCGATCAAAATCATTTTGATCATCCATTATGGATGCAAAGCTGAGTACTGCCACTCTGGCTGTCCTATTTTGGGTGCAAGAGCTTTATATCTCATGTATTTTCAACAATCTACTGAATTATCCAGCCCAGGCTCATTGTATGGCTTCGTAACTTGCACCCCATCTTTTACAAAATCCACTACAGTGGCAGCCCCGGTATGGCGACCCCTTGTGACAAGCCATCTGAGAGTCGCTAAACCTGGACGGGTCACCACAATCCCCCCAGTACTTTAAATGCTTCAGCAGTACTTAACACAGTTTAGCCATAGCTTAAGTCCTGCAAGATGTCCCGTGCGCTTCCCCAAACACTGCTAGATATGCCCAGCATTGCATGGTTCGATTCTCTTTATCCTATATGCTGGTGTAGGGGGGCTTCCTGGCCACCAGGTTAAGGTGGGTACCCTAAGCAGCCAGTGTAAAGGGTACCCAGGCCACAAGTGTAGGGAGTATCCTAAGCTGCCGATGTAAGGGGTACCCAAACCGCTGGTGTAAGGGGTATGCAGGCTACCACTATGGAGGGTACCCTCGCAGCCAATGTATGGGGTACCCTGGCAGCTGTAAAAGGGGTACCCAGGCCGCCAGTATAGGGGGTTATGCTACACTCGGCCTACCAGCCCATAGTAGCTTTTGGTGCCAGCGGCTTAGACAAAAACCCCAAAGTCATGCACGCCGGGGCCTGTCGCAGTGCAATAGAGTAGTGACAAGCCATTCAGGGGGGCGCTGAACCGGGCCCCCACTGTATTTTAATCTTTGCTGCCAGTGATCTGCCCAGTTATTTGCCTTGCAACACCACATGAGGCAAAATCTGTCACTGACCTAGTACATAGAATCACAAACAATCACACACATGACCATTCTTTGTCCATAACCAAAACAAAGGTGAGCAATGCAGTGTACTTCCTCAATGCGCACCTCGCTTGGACATCTGCACCCCAGTCACATCGATGCCATAGACCACTGTGCCCCCATCAAGGGCGCCTTCCAGTGCCTGGACAAGCGCTGTGCGGTAGACACCCCGAAATTCACGCCTCCCTTGGCCGCAGTCATCGAATGAGAAGCTGGTGAGTTCAGATCCATCAGAAGATTTCAATTGGACCCTGGAAAGAGCACATCAGGATTTATGGCAACATTGATCAGGAATTTCCATCGATCGCCGTTGTGACAAAAGCATCATAATTTATTGAATATTAACTGTCAAACTACAAAAATACTGAACTTGTACCAAAGCAAACAGCAACTCATGCATCTAGTGGGAAATGCCAAATTGAATATAGCAAAAGTTCACCAATCGACAGTAGTGTCACGATCTGGCACTTCAGCAGGAAATGAATCGCTAGCACACATTGGGTTGGATTCCCATTTGCCTATATTTGGAGTCTATTAAGCAAAATGTTGCATGCCAACAGAGTGGTGCCCTTCAATCCAACTCTTGCATTATTAGATTTCTCTTTTCAGTTGACAGGGCAAAGCAGTATGCAACATGATCTGTGTGCAAGACCTGGTGCGATCTGTGATGCGCGCTGACCTGATGTCACAGCAGGTATCTGATGCATACAACCTGATGTGGCATCACATTTTGATGAGCTGATTAGCGACTTCAATGTGATACCACAATGTACACTGCTGTATGATATACAAGCCACATGATATGGAGGTCATGAAGAATGGAAACACCGTGCGGTTGTGAACAAGAGCAGCACACAATGATGCTGTGCCATACTGCGAGAATTCAGTTTCTATCAAACATTTTGGGCAGCACAATCACTGTTTGCTCACCCATTCAACAGCATGTGGTCACGCCTAAGCTGGTTTCCAACACCAAGTGCATCCAATGCCCGCCAGGCATTTCCAAACAGGCCAAGGGCACTGCCTTCAGTTCGCATCTCTTCACTCTTTTCGAGGACCACCACAGGAATGCCGATCTGGCACAAAAAATGGAAGCATGGAAGCATAATCATCACCCCCCACCCCCCTACATCACAGTATACAGGTGCATACAGTGCACAGTACAGGACCCAAACGTCTCATGCAACAAGGCAATGGTGTCTGCGGCATGAGCTGCTGCCTGAAACAGAACTGTTGGCAGTGCAGATGACAGCAGATTGGGCACATGTGGCACAAGTGGAACCCTGCCAAATACCAGTGATGACAAACCTTGTCATCTTAACGCTTTAGATGCTGCTATGTCTGCACTCACAAAGTACTGAACAGTTGCTTAGAAGTGATGTGTGCAGTTTCAATATAAGCGCAAAGGTTTGTGGGATCCAAGAATGGGTAATACGTTCTTAAGGTTGAATTTAGAGATTGGGTGTGTGCTTTGATGCTGGAGGGGGCTTAGGAGGCTCTGGCTTGGGGATGACCACATTCGACCAGTATCATGCACAAGGTGTCCACTTTAAATGAGATAATATTCAAATGCTTTCCTGCACTGGTGCCTGACTGACTCTTTGCATGGTACGGAGCAACCAAACAGTACTTGACAACTATCATCCAAGTAATTGAAAGGCGCCATTGGTTTTGAGCTGTCTGGAACAAGCCAATTCAAAGTGTGAAGTGTGACAATGCACAGTTGGTGCATTGTATTGCAAGCATCTTCCCCTTATACTTGTGTAATCAAGCTTCAAAACAGATGGGCTTCCCCAGAAACATGTCACCCACCTCCCAGGCATGCCGTTCGTACTGCAGTCCCAAAGTTTCTTGGAACTGAACATCAAATCACAAAATTGCCACAACCCTCTTGCAAGACAAAAGGCCAACACTCCCGGATTTTATGGAGAGCCACAGAGCCTGCCAAACTCAGCCAAAGCATGTTCTGCTCTGCAAGGCAAATGGCAAGAACAGGCCCCAGAAATATCGCCATTCAGCTGGCAGCATTTCCCCAAACCCAATATCTTTTCCACTCGTGCTGTGCGGAAAGCGCACCTTCTTCAGAGCCAGCGCACTGGCCAGCCCTGCTATCCCTCCCCCAACGATGGCCACACTCTGGGAGGCCCTGGAAACTGACCACCACACAATAGCAACTCTCACACTGCCTGGCAAGCAGCCAAAGATGTCCTTTTGGAACAGACGTGCAGCTTGCTTATACAGCGGGCAGTCCCCACCCACCCCCCGAAGCAAGTGCATGATACTCCTTGTACAGCTCAATGCTATGAAAGATGATGTGGAAGTCTCCAAGTGCATTACAAGGGAAAGCGTCCTATTTCCTCCATAGTTGTGCCTCAGTTGGGGCACCAGGATTGACACATTATTGCTCTGATCAGAAGCAGCCCGATTGAAATTGAGCGGCAAGGGGGCACCAGCCCAACATTGCCCAAAATAGACACAACAAGTTTGACTGTTCACCTCAGCCAAATGGATTCAGATCAGCATCAATGACCCAAAGTGGCATAAACAGATTGTCATACACAGCCTCATTTCCACAAAGAATCCCATCTTGCCTCCATGCAGCAAAATTCACTGCATCCCAAACGAGCCACCTCACCTGTACGGCGGCAATAGATGAGACAGCCCACTCACAGCCAGGTGCCCGCATGAACAACGCATGGCACCATCATTCCCCGAGCAGGGCGACGTATTCGCGGAATTCAACCATGTCCAGGGCCGAGATCGCAGCGGAAGCCAGCGGACACAACGTAATGTAGACGACCGTGCCGTTACAAGCTAGGGCTGGGTGGCCCCGCGTACAAAATCGTCGTGTCCGGCAAAACATGCACAACACTACTTTCGTTTATACTGCCAGAGGCAAAGGGCACGGAATATCGATGCGTTGCAAACAGCGACAACGACACAATAAGGGATGCGCACGGCCCCAGTGGCCTGTCCAGGCGACGGAAGAGTGCGGCACAGGACGACCATTTACAGATACACATCACCAGGACAACGCAACGACCCCAAACAATGCCTCCATTTCTCCTGATCCTCCCTCGCCGGGTTCCAAGAAAAGCACCACCCGGGATTCCAAAGGCCATCCGCCTTGCCAGAAACAGCACGGTCTCTCCAAAGACCCTGAATTCGTCGCCACACATGCTCCCAAATACATACGGTGCAAAGTATAACAGCCCGACGCACCCAATTCCGCCTGTGATGTCGATGGGACTGCCGACGGGCTCTGCGGGCCGCGGCCGCCGACCAACCGCCCGTGAGGCGCGGCGGGAAGGAGCCTGGCGCCGAGGACAGGGGGAGCGAAACCGCCGGGTCGCACGCTGGAGGCCATCCTGAGCGTCTTGCGAGGCTGCGGTTGCTCTGGGTCAGAGCAATTGAACGCCAGGCATTCAAATCTGACTAAGTGTGCTTAATTCAATTTGGCTGGCCAAATTTGTTTGATCCGGGTGCGTTGCTTTGTTTTAATTTGCCTTCGAAAGACAAAGAGGGACTCTTGCAGCTTGCAGGCGACGACGGGCGCGTACGCATCTGAAAGTATTTCTTGTTCCTCTTGTGCTCATCTTATTCGCGCGCCACATTCAATTCTGGCGCTACCTTCATTGCCGGCCTAATTTTATCGCTTGCAGGAGGGAAGCGCCACATCAACAAGGGGAGAAATGTGTGCTTTGGGGAGCGGGTGGGTGCTCATGGTGGCAGGTGTGGTTGGGCTTAATTACATGCAAGTGGCCAACCTTCAAGGTCCGAAAGACTGCACTTATGCAAAACATCGCAATTATGTGTTTTTTTGGGCAAAACGGTTGTGCTCAAGATTGGCCGTTAGAAAACAAGGAAATTTGTGCGCAGAATTGCCATTTCTGAGTGCAAAAAAACAGAAGAGGATGCATGTTCTGTTGTTTTCCGTGACCCCCTTACCGACATTTTGCACGAAAGTTAGTTTTGGGACGAGGTTGGCACCGCCGTCAGCAAGGAAAGCTATGCTCGAACTTGGAACCGAACGAGAAAATGTGCGAGCCCGAATCCTGTGTGGGAGTTGCCTTGCAAGGCCATGTGTGAGGGCCGTTTGTGTCAGCGTCGTTTGTGTGTGGTGTGTGCACTTCCCGTGTGCACTCAAAACGAGCGGTTTGAATCGCATCAACCGCCTTCTCTTCGACAAATATTTTTTCGACCTGTTGAATTATTAATATGACCAATAAACACTATTGGCAGAGTAGCCGCCGCCGCCAAAAGCAATGTAAAACACTGGGTTAGGTAGACTACAATGAGTCTTCTAAATTGACCAGCCATCGATCAAAACCCTCTCGATTTGCACGTCCGCCATGCCACACCAAAGCGCCCGAGGAGCTCGCCACCCACACGGATTGACCGCATGTTCCATTAAGGAAGATCACACTTATCTGTCTCGACAATTTTTAATTGTTGCTCCACAATCTTTGCTTATACACAACCATCAACTTGGCAGGTTGCTTCGTCCAATCTTGATCCTACAAATTTTCGTTCCTCACAACCAACCGTCCACTTTTCAAGTCTCAAGGACTGTGATCAATCACAGACATCCGTACAACAATTCAGCCACATACATGAACGATTCCAGAATTCAAGCAAAGAAATGTTTTTTTAGGATATTTTTATGAAACATGTATTCTCTTTTCTATATAATCTACCAGCATTCAAGCAAGGCAGTGTGCATAGGCTAGGAAGCTGCCAACTCAATGCGCCGCACCAGGAATAGTAACATCCCAATGTGAGCAACCTTTCATGTTTCAGGGCAAAGCTTTTACATACCTTTGCTTTTCGGTCATGTCAATTAGCAAATCACGTTTTGGAATGCAATCGAATCGCTAGCCATGAAGCATCAGCGATCCATCGAGTGAAATACCTACGGTAATGGTCATTATGTAGCTAAGCTAACATACATCTTTTGGTTTAGGCACCAATTGTGCCCCAATGCTAAAACCCCCTTCGAATGTTCTAGCTTGAGCCTAAATACTTCTTCCGTCCCATATGAATTGTCGTCTATTTGAGAGAGAAATCTCCTCATGAAAACTGTGTGTGAATTGCAAATGGAAGCCAGAATCGGAATGACTGGGTCTCAAAAACCCCAGTTTCGAATCTTTAGGAAAAAGCATTCAGTCCTCATCCCTATGAGCTGCCCCCCAAACTTGTCCTGACACGGTCCAAAAAATGCGCTTTCAATTTCCGCGGTCTTGCAGAACCCCCCTGGTTTGGGGGCGCTCCCGTGCCTAGGAATTGCAACGCCAGTGGTTGCCACCATTGCGGCAAAGGATGGGGTCTGGCATGTAGCACAGCACTTGCCAAACACACACGAACGTGCTTTTATCCTTGTCTTAGGTGGCCATCGCCGCAGTGTTGACGATACCAGAAATCACCACTTTCCTCGATCGCCGATGGGCAGACCTCCAACGAGCGGAAAGACCAACGTACACAACCTTGAAGCCTGGGGTCAGTGCGTGCTGTTGCTCCAAAGTTGTCTGGTAATCTTGCTTGGACATTTTGCCTTAGTTGATGCTTGAATCGGGGCTTGTGTTGGCCCCTAAACTGGAAGTCCAACAACCACCATTGTTTGTGGATACAGAGGCCAATGCTTGTGCACGGTACACAATTCAGTGGAGCCTAGCAAGACTCCAACACTCGAAAAAACCCAAATTCGCATTTTTGGCCACCCTCCTTGCACCCAATCTTCTGAAGTTTCGAAACAAGGACAAATCGCCATTCCCGTGGCGATTGCCAATTCACTAACTGTTCGTGCTACATCGGGGTGATAACCATCACCATCTCTAGCTCCTTGTTAAAAGGATTGAGAGACCTCCCTCAGTTGCCTTGACGATGGCAAAGGAGATCGAAAATCCCGAACAAAAAAATCTGGGCCCGGAACATCATTCCGATCCGCCTGATCAAGCCTGAATTGACGCGGTGAGCAACGGCGAGCTCGATGATCAATGCACTCGAAATGCGTTTTCTATCGCCATACCTCTTTGCAAGCAACCTAGTGACCTCCACTTTAAAAGAAGTGAGTAGTTTGGCAAGGACGGGTTTGGTTCGCTGCCGCGAAGGAGTGCTCCTCAAAACAGCCAAAATTGCTGTTCTTCAGCGCAACGTCCAAGAGCGACCCTTTTCTGGCCAGAGAGCCCTCGCTACAAAGTACTGCCAAGTCCTCAAAACTTAATGGAATGACGTGAAATTTTGATAATACACTCCAACTTCCCAATCACAACTTTGGGGTAATTTTATTGAAAACTCACGTAGGCGCAATGGAGAAATAACGTTTCAACATCATAGACGATAATTAATATCGGACGGAGGAAGTAGCACATATCCATGCAGTGGTGTGGCCTCTTTAAGGCTGCCCTGTGGCAACCCCATTTCACTGGGCTTATTGACCGTTGGCCTTGTTGAGGTCCACAGCCCATTTAGAACTGTAGAAGTCATTTACGGTATATTCAACATCATATAATGCATATGTTGATTATTTTTAAGTGTATTATTATATCGAAATATTGTTAGTACTTCATGCACTGCCCAATAAGAATTGTGGTTCTTTACTTGGTAGCATTGATTGTCAATAGGCAATCGCCCAATCGAAGGAGGGTGGTTTTGAACTGGGTGACCGATGCTATGGGGTTGTGAACGCCCCTGCGCCTAAATCAACACAGCGCTAGAGGCCCGGGTGCCCGGTTTACGAGGTACCCGAGGGTCCTTAGGCTGCGAGCGCCCCGCACAGCGCAAAGTCTTGCCGTCCAGGGGCGGAAACGGCACGGCAAGTTTGAGCATTCACATCCCAACATTCTGATTGCCATGGACACGACGCCAACCTCACAGCATGGTTGCACAAGCTTTCGCGAATGCCAGAACGGTGCAGCGAAGTTGAGAATTAATTTGCTCGTTCATAGATCAAGAGCCAAGGCGGCGCTTTCGCATGCCCTGGCCCCCACCACCCGTCATTGCTTCGTTCTGGCAATCTCCTTGCCTCCACCCGTCGAATACTCCTTGCCATGATGGCGACCCCACATGCTCAAACTGCTTGTGACCATGTCTTTCTAGTACTTTAGGTCGTGCCACCAGATATGGCTGATTTTCACTGGCCTTATTGACAGTTTGGCCTTGTTGAGTGTGGCCTTGAAGAGGTCACCTCACTGTAGTGAGCGGCAACGAATATATCATCCAGCGTTGTTCGAATTGAGTTTGGCATGTGGTATTACCACATGGCATACTACGGTGGTTTGGGATGCCGGTGGCGATGAAGTCCCAAAGTTAATTGAAACCATTGGCATGATGGTCCCAAGGATTCCAAGCTCAGATGTATAAAGCTCAGTCTTCTGGTGAGATGAGCGGCAAAGCCACGGTCTCCATGGCTCGAGCTTTGGCCATCACTGGTGCACTGTGTTCAAGGAGAGGCTGAATATTGTCTTTTGTGGCTTCAACTTGAGCTGGATGTGCCCCACCCCCCTTGTTCAATGCCAATTGGCCCGATGGGCTGGCAACACAATTGCGACAATAGCCCAAATTGCGGCAAACGAACACAGAGACCAAGTCGACATGAAGAAGCGCCAAATAGCAAAACGAATATCCACTCCAGTTTGGCTTTTATCACGCGGTGTTCCGAGATTCTGCACCGCTCTCAACAACTGGTGATAGGTGTCCCTTGTCAACTAGCAATGGGTGCTATTTTCCCGAGGGCTCTACATCGATGAAGAGATTTTGAAGCAAGCAATCAGAACTGTTCTATTTTATCAGGTTCCTTGTTACGTGGTGCGGTTTCAGCTGATGCTGATCTCTTTCCCCTGCAAATGGACAAGCGGAGGACACTGAGGAACAATGCACTTAGAAGCCCTTGACTTATGGTTACATTTTGGGTGACAGTTATGAAGGTTCCCATAAACCTCTGGAAAAGTCCAATTGAGCTGAGCTTGTTGTGAACATAGTTCAGCATCTTAAATATATTCGGTAATATGCATTTGCCAAAAAAGCCATGATGGCAGAAAATTCGAACATCAAGCTTCCTTTTTACACCCGAAACGCTGAATGTATTTACGTTCTTACGAAGAAAAAAACGTTAAAATATATAGATACTTCCTCCGTCCCATAGTAAATGTTCTCTGTGACTTTGAAACATTACCTTGCCATCATAACTTCTTACTTTTCAATGAATTTTTGTCCAAATCTATGTCTATGTTTTTGAAGCATACTACTTAAATTTAAAGACAATCCGATAAGTATTGAGGATTGGGCAGTATTTTATATTAAGGGTTCTCTAGCCAGAAACTAACCAGTTTTTTAATGATTCCGCGAAAACGGTTGTTTTCGATGTTATGA